TTGTTGTGGTCGTGGTGGTGATGGTTGTGGTCGTGGTTGTTGTTGTTGTTGTTGTTGTTGTTGTTGTTGTTGTTGTTGTAGTTGTGGTACTTCCACTTCCTTCACCACTCCCAGATGCAAGCGTGGACGTGCTTGTCGTGCTTGTTGTTGTCGTGGTAGTGGTAGAGGTTGTTGTGGTAGTGGTCGTGGTTGTTGTTGTTGTTGTTGTTGTTGTTGTTGTTGTGGTAGTGGTACTTCCACTTGCTTCACCACTCCCGGATGCAAGCGTGGATGTGCTTGTCGTCGTGGGGGCAGCTGTCGTGGTGGTGGTGGTTCTTGTCGTCGTCGTCGTTGATGTTGTCGCCGTCGTCGTCGTGGTAGTGGAAGTGGTGGTTGTACTTGTGCTTGTTGTAGTGGTTGTTGTTGTGGATGTAGTTGTGTTTGTTGTTGTTGTCGTGGCTGTGCTTGGCGTGGACACAAGGGTGGTTGTGGAGGAGAGGTCCACCATGCCCGATCCAGAAGCGTTAAAGAACGAACCCATCGTAGTTGTCGTTGAGGTTGTTGAGGTTGTGGTGGTGGTTGTCGTTGAGGTTGTGGTGGTTGTGGTTGTCGTCGTGGCGGCAGAGAGGGCAGCCACGGTGTCTGCATCGAGTGCGGTGTCAAACACTGCGACGTTATCAAGCGCGCCATCAAACGCGTACTGCACGCCGCCGCTGCCGTCGGGGCGGCCGCCAATAAACAGCTCCTCAACGACAGGGCGAAACGAGAGCACAGTTGGGGACGACGGCCACGCAAGCAGCTCGCCATCAAGGTACAGGTCAACCACATACGCCCCGCTGGCAGCGCGGGCAAAGGAGGCCACAGCCGTGTGCCACGCGCCATCGGTGACTGGGGTGTCGTCCGGGTGCTGGCCGAGATAGGCGCTGCTCTGTGCATTTGTGAGGGAGAGGACGAGCACGCCATCGATGATGACGAGCGAGACGCGATCAAAGTCGCCACCAACGCCGCCAACCAGCATCAGAACACCGCTCGCCTGCGTGGTGCGGAAGGACGCAGCGAGCGTGTAGTTGGCCACGCCCGCGCCCATAATGTCCTCGGCCCCGCGCACAACAGTGATGAGCGCCGCGTCTGCCGCGTCTGCCGCAGCAGCAGCAACAGCGGTCGTGCTCACGGTGGCACGCGTGACCAGGTCGCTGGACGTCCACGCGTTGGCTGCAGCGAGGAGGGCGTGGTACCCGCTGCCGCTGGCGTCAAACGCGACGTTGCCGCTGCCTTCCTCAAACGCCCACCCGGCCGCCAGCACCGCGGCGAGCGCAGGGTAGGGCGAGGGTGCAGTGGGCACCGAAAACGCCGCAGACGCCAGCGTGCGCGCCAGCCCCTGCTGGTGCAACAGCTGAATGTCTGTTGCATTGAGCACGCCGCGGTACACACGCACGTCATCCACAGCGCCCGTGAGCGCGAGCGGGGCCGACCCGTGTGCCAGGTAGCCGATGCTCAGCGTGTCCGTGGGCACGGGTACCACATCACCACTGCCACCACCACCGACAGCGGCGGCAGTGGTGCCAGCAGCGACGAGCTCGCCGTCAACGTACAGCGCAATCGCAGAGGCGTTGCGGGTCATGGCAACAAAGCGCCATGTGTTGGTGCGCAGGTCTGTCGTGGGCGGCGCGGTGACGGTGGTCTGGACACCGGTGCTCTGCTCGCGCTCGGAGAACTCGACACGCCCCTCGTAGATGCGAAGCCCGCTGCGGTCAAACGTGCTGCTGTGGGAGAAGTCAACAAGCGAGTGGATAAACGGGTTAGCGCCCGTGTCCGCTGGCGGCAGCAGCACCCACAGCGAGCGCGTCTCATACGGTGTGGGCCACGCATTCGCGCTGCTGGTGGTGGCGTCGTGTGAGCCTGTGAGCGGCACACGCATACCGGATGCGCCCGTGAGGGAGAGGCTGACATCACCAGCGACGCTGACGGTGGCGTTGAGCGAGGTGGCCGTGGTCGAGCGAACACCGTGCAGCGCACGCGTGCCCGTGCCCCACGAAAACACCGTTGCCCCAGATGCGCTGCTGTCGCCTGCAAGCTGTTGCTGCTGTTCGTCCTCGCCCTCAAAGTCAAAGCGAATGGACGGGCGAGACACATCAGCGGTGGACGACTGCGGTGTCGCCGGTGCTGTCGTTGTTGTTGTCGTCGTCGTGGCTGTTGGCGTTGTCGTGGCTGCTGTGGCGGTGGTTGTTGGGTCTGCTGAGGTTGGCGACGCCGTGGTCAGGGGCGTGAATGAGCCCGAGCCGGAGCCATCCAGGGCTGCGGTTGTGGTGGTGGTTGTTGTTGTGGGTGCTGCTGTTGCCGTTGATGTGGTGGCGCCCGGCTGGCCCGGGTTGACGTAGGATGCGAGCAGCGTGATATCGTCAATGTGGCCCTGGAAGACCTGGTCGTTGTTGATGGCGCCAATGTGGATGGAGTCGAGCGAGGTTGGCACGGCAGACAGCGGCTGGCGGGCCACCTCCACCGCGTTGAGGGTGATGGAGAGCTCCCACGCGCCGCTGTCGTCCACGTCGCGGGAGAGCACGACGTAGTACCACGTGTTGGCTGCGGTGAGCACGCGGCTGGTGATGACGCGGTCCTCCACGCCGTTCACCCGCGCAAAGTAGTAGAAGCGCTGCGAGTAGATGTACAGCGTGGAGTGGTCGCCGTTGCTGCCCACGTAGGAGACGAGTGCCTGCAGGCTCTCGATGTTTGCGGGGCGAAACCAGAGGCGGCGTGTCTCCGGGCGGGTGAGGTTGACGTACGGCAGAAACGGGGACGACCACGTGCGAACGCCGGCAGTACCAAACAGCCGCAGGGAGCCCGGGTTGCTTGCCGACACGCTGGGGCTGGTGGCGGCAAGCTGCGCTGTGGGCGGCAGGAGGAGGTGGTGGCCGTACAGGCTGCCGTCGTAGGCCGTGTTGGTGGTGGAGGGGTCTTCGTTGAAGGTCCACGCGCCAATGACGCGGCCATTGGCGGTGGTTGGTGGCGGCGCGGGAAACGCAGCAACAAGCGCCGCCGCAGCAGCAGCCGGGTCGCCCGAGTTGGCGGGAACAAAGCTGGTACCCGTGTACAGGGCGTCGACCTGGGCCGCGGTGAGGGTGGTGTTGTACACGCGCACGTCATCCAACTGCGTTGCGGTGGATGTGCTGGTCGCGGCGATGGCGTTGACCTCGTAGGCAAGCGAGATGGCCTGCACCGCGACGGGGCTGGCAGCGGCCGTGGCGTCCAGCGTGTCGCTTCCAACAGGGGATCCGTCGACAAACAGGGTGATGGCGCCTGTGCTGGTGCGGGTGACGCCGACGTGGTGCCACAGGCCATTGCGAAGGTCTGCGTGGGCCGTGTCGGCGACAATGGTGGACTGGGCACCAAAGCCGTCTGTGTGGACGTACGCGAGGACGCCGTCCAGTGCCACGAGTGCAGCGCTCTCCTGGCTCTCGACATTGGCCAGCACGAGCAGCGGCTGCTGCTGTTGTTGTTGCATGCCATCGTCATCGCCAGTGAGCATCCTGACCCAACAAAACCGCGAGTCTGTGGTGTCGAGGAACGCCGGTGTAGCGCTTTCGGGGACGGGCACGTACACGCCGGCACTGCCCGCAGTGTTGTTGATGGTGAGCACGGCTCCTGGCCTCTCCTGCGTCGTGTCGGAGGCCTGCCAGCTGGCCGGGGTGCGTGTTGCGCCGCCAGCGAGCATGCCGTGCAGCGCCAGGTCGCCTGTGGAGAAGGCGTAGGCGGTGTTGCCTGGGGCGATGGTGCCTTGGGCGTCATCGTCAAAGTCCCAGCGCAGGGCCGGATCCGGAAGCAGCGAGTGCTGCTGGTGTTGTTGGCCTGCAGCTGGGCTGGTGCACGTGGCGAGGGCAAGCAGCAACGCGAAGAAGGCAGCGGGTAACAGGTGTGCCATTGCGAAGCGCCTTGCGGAGGGCTGTTGTCTTTGCCGAGGTTGTGTGTTGTGGTGTTGTTGCCTGCGCTGCGTTGGTGCGGCTGACGCTGCAGCTGTCTGTGACTGTTGTTGTCTTTGTTGTTGACGTGCACAACATGTGCATGATTGTTGTTGTTGTTGTTGTTGTTGTTGTTGTTGTTGTTGTTGTTGTTGTTGTTGTTGTTGGCGTGTTTGTGGGTTTCGTTGTTGGTGTAGTTGTGCCTGCTTGGTGAGTGCTGGCGGTGCGAGCCACTCTTGGGCTTCGCTGCAGACAGCATTCGTGGTGGTGTTGTTGCAGTGTTGTATGTGGTGGTGATGGTGTGTGATTGATGATGCGCTGGGGCTTTCTGATCGTTGTGTCGGAGACAACAAGGGTGATGTGGAGGTGGCGCGTGCACGCACGTCGTCGTGCAAGGGTTGACGCCACCTCATGGCGTGTTGTTGTGTGCTGTGTGTTGTGTTGTGTGGTGTTGTGTTGTGGTTGCAAGCAAGCAAGGAGGTGAGTTGTCAGGGAGAAACGTGGTGCTTGGCGGCCGCTTGCGCTGTGTCACGAAGCAGAGGGAGTCCAATGGACAAAACAGCGATTCTGTCTCTGTGCACAAGTGATGGTGATGGCGTGTGTGTGTGCATGGACGAGGGAACAGGGGCGTGCAAATAAGCAACGATGCAGCAGACAAACACACAAACACGCAAGCAGCTAAATAAGTGCGGGTGCACAAGCTTGTTATGACGAACGCCACAAAGCAGCACAAGGAGGAGCAGGCGCTGCAGTTGCGCGCACTTGTGTTACAGCGCGTACGCCGCACATGAACACCACACACACACACACACTCACACTCACACACACACAGACACAGACACAGACAGAGACACACAGCACAGCCATGCAACAGCGGACTTACGCGAGAGGACGAAGACAGGCAGGGAAGGATCAAGAACAGAACGCGGAGAGATTTCAATTATTGACTGTACACAGAGGGTGAGGCGATGGAGTGCAGGCGTCCGGGCTGGTCGCCAACACAACAGGGAACAAGGGTGAAGCAGCACACAGCAAGTCAAAGATGAGCAGGGCGCGTCCGCGCGGCGCAGTCTCCACACAACACGAGCGAGTGAATGCAGTGGCTGGTGTTTGGTGTTGGTTGGCGTGCTGCCACAAAACAAAGGGGATGGCACGGTGTTGTGTGGGCAAGCGTTTTTTTTTATTGTTGGAGATTGTTTTCCCCTTGGAGGATTGTTTGATGTCTTCGTAGAATCGCCCAATTCTCGCGTCACAGCACAAGAATGGTCGCCAAACGTCCCACCTGATTGGTCAGATTCGCGAAAGTGCAAATTTGGTTGGGTGGTGCTGACGTCAGCGGAATTTTAAGCAAAAGTAAGAGGTATGCTTGAAGCTCGTGCGAAGCGAATCAGCCGGAAATCCGCCGTTCGTTCACGACATGACAAAGTGGTGCTGGTGCCGCTGCGACCGTTGCACTGCTCCTCAACCGCCCACGATTTGAAAACAACAAACCACAACAGAGCCCATCCAACCAGCCAAAGCAACTCACAAAGCCCAACACAGCTTGCTTGCTGCATCCCCGGCATCGTGGGTGCGTTGCTAGCTGCCTGTGTGTGTGTGTGTGTATGAACAAGGAGACGGGAAGGGGACGACGAGCTTGCTTTGTTTTGCTTTACTTTGCTTGAGCGGAAGAAAGGGTCAGCCATGAGCTACCGCACGCCACGGCCTCGTGGCTATGGTCGCTCGCCTTCGCCTTCAACACGCACGCTCAAGAGCCAAGAAGAGGTCAGTCAATGTCAGCAACGGACATGGAGCTGTGGCTTGTGTGCGTTTGTGCACGTGTGTGTGGATGTGCCGTGTCGTGTTGTGTTGAGTGTGTTCCGTGTGTCGTGTTGTGTTTGTAGAGTGTGTGTTCTGTGTAGTGGTGTGTCTCTTGTGTCTCTTGTGTCGTCTTGTATGCTGTTCCGTGTCACGCTGTATGGTGCGTGCCTCTTTGTGCCGCATTGTGTGTTAACCACCAATCATTGGTGTTTTCTCCACCCCTAGACGATCGATGCCTTGAGCAAGGAGAACTTTGACTTGAAGATGCGGCTGCAGGAGCTGCAAGACCGCTTCCTCGGCGGCAACAGTGCTCGAGGACGCGATGGCGGCTCAGGCGTGTCACGCCAGCAGGTGTGTCTGCGTGTGTGTGTGCGTGTGCGTGCGTGTGCGTGTGTGTGTGTGTTACGCACGTACACCTGCACACGTGCATGTGTGCTTGTGCGTGATTGGGTGAGGCGATGTGTTCAGCAGAGCTGTGCTCGCTCGCCCTTGGGCACACGTGACCTTGCACATGAATGCTAGGATACCGAATTGGTCTTTGGTGCGTTGTGAGCTGCTCTACTCCACTTCCCTCACGAATGCCTCTGCATGCAATCGCGGGCGCCGTGCGTGGTCATGCAGGCCGATGCGCTGCGTGAGCACGTGGCAAACATGGAACGCGAAATCCAAGAGAAAGATCGCCTTCTTCGAGAGGTGTGGCACCAACGCTTGATGTCGTGTGTGCCTTGTCTGTCCTTCCTGCATTAGCATGTTCGTCATCATCGCGTGCACTTGTGTATCTCCAGCTGCGCTTTGTCACTCATCTTCACCGTCCTGTGAACAGGGTGGCGAACTCATGGCCCTCAACGAACGCAAGCGACAACAGGTGCGTGCGTGCGTGCGTGCGTGTGTGTGTGTGTGTGTGTGTGTGTGTGTGTGTGTGTGTGTGTGTGTGTGTGTGTGTGTGTGTGTGTGTGTTTGCGTTTGGAGAGCGTGTTGCGGCAGCCACCAGCGACAGGTGAACTCCTCCTGCACCCCCACGCGCTCACACAGCACTCAACGCGTGCCACGCGACACATGCGTACGTGCACGTGACATCCGCGCGCCCTTCAGCTGCAAGCGCGCGTCTCTGAGCTGGAAGATGAACTTCGACGGGCAGACCGCAGCCGCAACGACGTCGAATCACGCATGCGCGTAGGTTGATGCGAAGTGTCGAATGTATATTGTCTCTGTCCATGATTGTCGATGTGTGGTCATGGTTCGTGCACTGAATGTTGCTGCCGGCAGAATAAGTTGGCACGCAGGCTGCTGAGTTATCTTCACCACGCGCACCTGAAACGTACACCCTAACACAACACACAACACACAACACAACACAACACAACACAACACAACACAACACAACACAACACAACACAACACAACACAACACAACACAACACAACACAACACAACACAACACAACACGATGCAACGCAACACGCACACATGGACAGCGGTCACAAACGCTGTCGTCACAGGACCGCGCCGCGCTTGAAATGCGCGTGCAGGAGTTGGAGAAGGACGTGCAATGGTACAGGGGCAAGTTGGAGGAAGCCAACTTGCATGCCTCGAAACGGTCCAATGCAGAACACACGGGCCTGCGCACCGAACTCGAAGACACGCGCGCAAGGTTTGTCGTTGGCATGACGGAGTGATTGCAATTGATTTTGATGCTTCATATGCGTTTGCGTGGGCGTGGTTATGTGTGTGTGTGTGCTGCGTATGTGTTGTCTTGTGTGTGTGTGTGTGTGGTGCGTGCGTGTGCGTGTGTGTGCATGTGCGTGTGTTGTGCGTGTGTGTGTTGTGCGTGGGTTGTGCGTGGTGTACATTTGTGTGTCCATCGCCTCACGGTTGCTTGTCGTCTGTGCGCGTGTGCTGTTTGGCAACAGGTTGCAGGAGACAGAGCGCCAGCTGTTTGCTGCGCGGCGGACGGACGAGGAGCGAAAACAGGTGCGGTGCTTGCCACTTCGTGTGTCGCGGGGGAGGGGGGCGTGTCATGATGGTTACAGTGCTCATGGTGGTTGTTACCTGAGCGTGGTCACAAGTGCGCAAGTGAAGGTGCTCGGCCATACTCACATTCACGTGCACACACACACACACATGTACACGCACATATGCAAATGCAAATGCATGCTCATGCTCACACCTTCATGCGCATGTGACAGCTGCGTGAGCGGGTGCAAGAGCTCGAGTCACGACTGGACGCAGCCAATGCACAACTGCAGCGCAGCGGAAAAGCGGCGTCGGCGTCAACCCGGCAGATTGAGCAGGAGGTGGAGGAGCAGGTGAGGACCAAGACAGCAGACCTGAAGACCAGGCTCCAGGACAGGGAAGACGAAGTGCAGGTCTGTACACATGCATTTGGGGTGATGGAGACTCGGGCGATGAACGTGTGTTTGTGTGTGTGTGTTTGTGTGAATGTGCGTTTGCCGTGTGTATATATGTGTGTGAGTGTGTGTGAGTGTGTGCCCGCGCTCGCGTGCACACACTGGGATCCATGTATTGCACGCAACTCTCACGCCACCACAATCATCATCACCATACCACCATCACTGTTGTTGCGCGATGTTAGCGGCTGAGGAGTGCGCTGCGCAGCGGTAATGCGGAGGCCGTTGCCGGCATCTCGCTCGAGGTGAGCAGACACACACACACACACACACACACACACACACACACACACACACACACACACACACACACCCGTGCATGTGTTTGATGGTGCTGTTTATTTGTGGATTTCTGATGTTTGCGCGCCTAAACGTGTGTTGTTGTTGTTGTATCACACGCACCGCGTCACTGAACCCGTTGCCGCTGACAATGTTGTTGTCTTCTGCTCGACGTACCCCATCATCATCATCATCATCATCATCATCATCATCATCATCATCATCATCATCATCATCATCATCATCATCATCATCATCATCATCATCATCATCATCATCATCATCATCATCATCATCATCATCATCATCATCATCATCATCATCATCATCATCATCATCATCATCACCACCACCCCTGTGCAGGCGGAGCGGCGCGAGCTTGACCTGGAGCGGGCCCGACTGCGACGGCTGCAGGAGGTGCGCAGCGGTGGAAGACAGAAGACGAAGTGGCGTGCTGTACGACGTTTTCACGTTGAGAGGGCTGGCAGTGCAATTGCTCCACTCCACACAGCACACACACACACATTTGTTGCGCACTGGTAATTGTGCTCATTCACACACACACACACACACACACAACAACAACAACAACAACAACACACCATGCCGTTATCAGGAGATTGAGGAGGAGCGGCGCCGTCTCGCTGAACGGCGGCACGCGCTCCCGTCAACCCACCACGCAGAGGTGTGCCCACACACACACACACACACACACACACACACACACACACACACACACACACACACACACACACACACATGCACCCATGCAATCAGCCTGCTGCGATGGTAGAGGAGAGGATGGGGTTTGTGTGGTGATGGCGGTGATGATGGTATAACTTGTTGGTCGTCACGACACAGGTGCATGTTGAACTATGTCTCATCCATGCACGGGTCTGGTGTGTGTACATGGTTGTGCAGAGCATCACTGGTGACCTCCACGCACGTGCAGACTCAACAGATTCATTGCGGTTTGTACACATGCGATGCAGCGTAGCTCGGCACGCGTGTATGTGTGCATGTGTGCATGCGTGTATGCGTGTATGTGTGCATGTATGTGTGTATGTGTGTGTTTGCACTTGCTTGTGTGCGTTGCTCGTGAGGGTGCTTGCGGCGCGTGCATATTCATGCGCTGTCCCATGTCATGACCTCCACCTCAACACCGCTGGTTCTGTGTTGTGCAGGCGTGCGCTTGGTGAAGAGAAGCGTTCTGTTGAGCAGTTGAAGGCGGATCTTGAGCTTGATCGTAAGAAGCTCGCTGAACAGATTGCCGCTGCAGTCAAACGCGAGACGCAAGGTACCCGCGACACGGCCTTTCTGTGTTGTTGTCAGGGAGCACCATCGAGGCAGTGCACGCGCGTGTGCATGCATGTGCATGCGTGTGCGTGCGCGTGTGCACGGCTGTTTGTTTGACCTTTGACGTGGTTGCGCTCGTTTCATCGATTAATTGACGCGCAACCACACCTTTCCCACATACCACGCACCTTGACACGCATCCCTGACAGCTGAGCGGCTGCTGGCAGAGCACGGCCGCGGCAGAACCAGCGGCGACGACAGCACAAGCAGTAGCAGCAGCGATAGCAGCAGCAGCAGCAGCGACGATGATGAGCGGATTCGCGCACTTGAGGAGCAGCTGAGGCGAAGGCGAACAGAGCTGGAGGACGAATACAGAACAAAGTTGCAGCAGGTGTGTGCTGTTGATTGACATGCTCCTGCGTTTGCTTGTTCGCAGGGTTGCATGGCTGCGTACTTGTGCGTCTTTGCCTAAAGGCGCCACGGCCGATTTGAGCTGCTGTCGTGCCCACGGCCTCCACACGAAAGCTGACACGAGCTCGTGTGTGCGTGCGTGTGCGTGCGTGTGCGTGTGTGTCTATCTGTCTGTCTGTCTGTCTCTCTCTCTCTGTCTCTGTCTCTCTCTTTCCCCGTTTGCCTCTCAGCTGGATACGGATGCAAAGTCGCGTCTTCACGAGCAGCGGAGCAAGGACGACCGCTCATCAAGGTGATTCCAGCTGACCATTGTGCAATGGAACGAAGGGATGGACGCGTGTGTTTATCCGTGTATATGTGTGTATGGACGAGCGCGTGTGTGTGTGCAATGTTGTGTGGACTTTTGTTGTTGTGTTGATAGCTTCCTCGTGCCTCGTGCCTCTCGCTTGTCTGGCGTTTGTTCTCTGCAGGCTGGCGGTTGAGCTCCAGAATCAACTGTTGGACGAAAAGGACAGGTGCGTCCCAATTGCAACCACACCACTTGTCCGAACCAACCCGATCGTCACTCGTCCACACACTCGCCTGCATGTAACATGGCTACCGCTCGCGCTACCGCCCGCGCTTGCACCCACGCACCAGCCTGACCAACCGACAGCTGACTCACCCAACATCAAACAATCCACCCATCAAACAATCCACGCGCCCACCTATCCGCTCTTCAACAACCCATTTCACGACATTGGGTGTGCAGGGTTGCGGAGTGCAAGCGAACGATCTCATCACTTGAAGAGCAGGTGGCGCAGCAGGCGGCCAAGCTCAAGGATGCACAGGATTCGCAATCCGCAACCGCGGACACGCACGCCGTCCAGCAGCAAAGGTAACAAGGCCGCATGCGGACGTATGTGTGTGTGTGTGTGTGTGTGCGCGCGCGCGCGTGTGTGAGTATGTAGATGTGGGCGTGCCCTGTGTTTGTGACCGATGAGATTATGTTGAAACGTTCATTAACACACACACACACACACACACACACACACACACACACACACACACACACACACACACGAAACGGCGTTCACCCGCCGTGTTCATCATCAGGATTGCGCAATTGGAGAAACAAATTGATGACTTGAAGGAAGGTCTGGCCACCAAGTCCAAGATGCTGGATAAGGCCGCAAACAAGGTGGTGGCCGCAACCCTCGTGTCCTAACGCGTGGTGGTCGTGGTGTTTGTCTCTCACCGAGCGTAGGATCAGCGTTTGTTTTTGTACACTTCCTGCGCGCTTCCTCCCCCACCTCCCCTCCTTACTCACCACATGTGCTTGGGCACATGTACACATGCGTGTGTGACATGATACAGGTGCGGTCGCAAGAGGCCGTGAACACCAACAGCGAGCACGTGCGCCGGGAGCAGGCGGAGACAATTTCGCGCCTCAACAGCCTGCTTGACGCTGCAAACGAACAGAGCAGCGACTACAAGCGGCAGCTCGACAGGGCCCTCGCTCGCGAAGAGGACTTGCAGGCACAACTGGACGAGGTGTGTGTGTGTGTGTGTGTGTGTGTGTGCGTGCATATGTGCATGTGTGTGTGTGTGTGCGTGTGCGCGTGCATACGTGTGTATGTGGGCTGGCGTGTTGTGTGTGTGTGTTGTGTGTGTGTGTGGTGTGTGTGTGTGTGTGTTGTGAAACAACCAACATCCCTCCCCTCCCCCTTCATTGACTCAGGTCCGGGAGAAGCTTGACGCTGCCGACGAAAACCACCGCATCGTCTGTCTCGAACACCGCGCACAAATCACAGAGGCCACCGGTGAGCGCAAATACTGCTGAGCGTACCTGTGAATGTGCACATGATGACATCTGCACATTCCTGTTTCTGTGCTCGCGCTCGTGCTTGTGCTTGTGCTGGTGGAATACTTTCTTCGTTTGCGCCTCGCCTTGGCTCATGGTGCCCACGTTCCGTACTCGTGTTCAATCCACATCCTTCCGCACCGCGCATTGCCACATCAGCGCAAGCGGAAGATGCGGAGGAGGAGGTGGGCAAATTGCGGCGCCGGCTGGCAGCGGAGGAGGAGCGACGAGCAGAGGCCGAGGACGCAGCGAGCGAGCACCAGGCAGCAGCGCAGGCGTGCGCGCGCCGCGTGAACGAGCTGACAGAGGCCCTTGACCAGGCAATGGGGGACGCAGAGCTGGCGCGACAGGCGGCGCAGCGCACGCAGGAGCTGGAGGGCCTCAACAAGACGCTCACCCGCACGCTGCGGGAGACGCAGGGGGAGGTGGAGGGCTGCCGGGCAACCATTGCCACGCTGCAGGAGACGGTCGGGGACCTGGAGGCCAGGCTGCGGCAGGCGGAGGACGATGCCGACGACGCACGGCGGCGGTTTCAACAGGCCGACCGCAACAGCGGGCTGCACATTTCGCAGCTTGAGTCTGAGCTGGAGAGCCAGCGCAAGCGGTGCGAGAAGCTTGAGGAGGAGCTGGAAGACGCCGTGCAGCAGCGGGACGAGGCCAACGCAAGCGTGCACAGGCTGCGGGCAGAGCTGGACCCGCTGCGACACGAACTGCGCAGCATGGACGAGACGGTCGCAGAGATGCGGCAGACGGCGGCGGAGCGGGAGCACCAGCTGGAAGTGCTTGGGGAGCAGGTGGCGCGGCTTGAGGGCGACCTTGCCACGGCGAGGGAGGCCGTGCGGGGCCGTGATGAGCTGCAGTCGCTGTACGATCAGCGCGGACAGGAGCTGACGCGCATCACGGAGCAGCACCGCCGCATGGCAGAGGACTGCCAGCAGTACCAGGTGCGTTGGGGGGGGGGAGGGGGGCGTACAATTGTGGGATGTGCATAAAGGGCGACGCGTGCATGCATGTGCGTGTGTTTGTTGGTTTTTTTTTTTGGGGGGGGGGGTGGGGTGGGGCTGGTAACACTCCCTGGTTGGCGTGCAAGGCTCCCAAAGCTGTCTTTGGTACACGCTTAACGACGCCTACTCAGCTACCATCATCACAACCACTACTCATGACCACCACCACTGTCATCACCACCACCATAGGATGAGCTTGGTGCGCTGCGTGCAGAGGCCGCGTCGTTGCAGTCTGGTCTTGAGCGCGAGCGGCAGCTGCGGTCGTCGCTTGAGGACCGCATGGACAGGGAGCGTGCGGCATCAGACCAGGAAATCCAGCAGGCGCAGGCCGGTACGTGTGCACGTGTGTGTTGGGGCTGGGGGTGGAGTAGGAAGGAGGGGATGTGCGTGTGGGTGACGTTTCGTATGTGCTTGCGTGTCTGTGGCGAGTGTCCTCACTGTACTTGCATTGCTGACGTTCTCCATATTACACCCCCTTGATACCTCTGCCATTCTCGTCACCACACACACACACACACACACACGCAAATCACGCCCTTTGTATCCTGCAACAGCGCTGCGGGAGGTACAGGAGCAGATGGAGGGCGTTGAACGGGAGGTGGCGACGATGCACAACGACAAGCAGCGCCTTCTTCGCGACATTGACCAGCTCTCCACCGCCCTCGAGGAACAGACCGCTGCCCTCAAGCAGTCAGGTGATGCACTTGCGTGCATGTGTGTGCGTGTGTGCACGCATGTGTGCACGCATGTGTGCGTGCATGTGTGTACTTTTGCTTGTTCCAAGGTTCTGGTGCAACTGACAGTGTATTTTTAATTGTGCGTGACATCACTTGATGCGACTGGTGGTGTTGACCACTGCAGAGCGTGACCTGCTTGCTGCACGGCGGGAGACGGAGGATGCACAGAACCGCATTCACCAGGCAGAGCAACAGGTGCTGGAAGCGTGGTGGCGCAAATGTCAATGCATTGGGAGATGTGTTCGCCTCCAGCTGCTGTGCCCTACACGCGCCATTCACGAGCATCAGTTTTGTCCACTTCGCACACACACACACACACACACACACACACACACACACACACACGCCTCACAACTGCACACAAATTTTGCTTCTCAGCTGCACCGAGCGGAAGGGAATGCGCAGCGCCTGGAGCAGGAGCTGGCGGACACGGCGGCTCAGTTTGATGGCGCGTCATCATCGTACGAGTCCACCATCCACGACCTTGAGGTAACCACACACACACACACATACGCGCACACACACACATAGTGGCTGCATAATGGTGTACTGTTGCACATGCTGTGGAGTTGCGTGAGTGCCACAAGCATGAAATCACGCCCATGCTCACACAAGAGTGCAATTTTCACCTGTCACCTCCAACACACACGTTCCTTCCAAATTTCCTCTCCTGCCCCTTCTCCAGGACGGCATTCGGCAGCGGGATGCGGAGTTGTCTTCGCTGTCGCGGGCGGCGGTGGAGCGCGATGGCCTCAAGCGCGAGCTCGCCGATATGGAGGACACCCTCACCCAGACCAGACTCGACAGGGACAGGCTGCAGCGCGAACTCAGGGTGGGCACCGTGCCCGTGGTGGTGGTGTGCGCCTGTGTGCGTGTGTGTGTGTGTGTGTGTGTGTGTGTGTGTGTGTGTGTGTGTGTGTGTGTGTGGAACTCGTTGTCGCACGTCTGCCTTCTTCCATCCCGTCCCGCCTCACCCCCACCTCACGATACCTCGCCACCACAATCTGTGTGCACAGAATGCAAGCGGGGACCTTGACGCGGCGCGAGAGGAAGTGCAGCAGGAGCGGGATGTGGTGCGCAGTCTCCGCAATGAGCTCGAGGACCAGCTCCGTCTTATTGCTCAGGCCGAAGATGACAAGGTCTCCTGTGTGTGGATGTGTGTGTGTGTGTGTGTGTGTGTGTGTGTGTGTGTGTGTGTGTGTGTGTGTGTGTGTGTGTGTGTGTGTGTGTGTGGCTCTGTGTGCCTGTATACGATAGGCACCGCGGAAGGGTATTTGTGTTGTGAAAATATGCAACACCACGGTCACCCCTGTTTCCCTGTTGTATTGTTGGTCTGTGCTATTGCGTGTTGGGTACGAGTACAGAAGGCCTTGCGACGGCAGTGCGAGCACAAGAAGGCCGAGCTGCAACGTGTCATCCAAGGTGAATACACTCGTGTTGCATTGCTTGGCATGCATAATGTACGTGCGTATGTGTATGTATGTGCGTGTGTAAAAATGTGTGCATATGTGTGCGTGTGTGCCTGCGTACGTATTGTGTTTGTTGTTGTTCCTCCTTCTTCCCCTCCAACTCAACCCCCCTTCCACTGCAGACCTTGAGGCCGCTGTTGCCGAGAAGGAGGCGACGGTGCGGCAGGAGCAGGACAACGCCCGTCAGTGCATTGATGAGCTGCAGCGTCTCCGTGACAGCCACGACCAACTCGCAGAGCGGGTGTGTGTGCATCTGTGTGTTGTGTGTGCCTATGTGTGTGTGTGTGTGTGTGTGGTGCACATAGTGCCATTGTTGCAGGGCGGTGCCCCACATGCATGATCCCCTTTCTGTCTCCTTCTGCCCTCTCTTCCATCACCACAGTGATGTACACACACACACACACACACACACACACACACACACACACACACACACACACACACACACACACACACACACACACCACGCTTCGCCTTTTCCAGCTGCATGGTGCGCACGATGAGGGCGAAGGCCTGCGCGGGCAGGTGGTGCGGCTGACGGCAGAGGTTGAGCGGCTCAAGGCGGACATTGACGAGCGGGAGGAGACGATGCGACAGCTCAGGCTGCAGCTGCACACATCCCAGGACAAGGCTGCTGCAGATTCAGGTCCGGCGGATGTGGGGTGGTGGCTGAGAGGCCGGTGCTTATTGCTGTTGCTGTCGGTTGTTTAAGTTGTTGTTTAAGTTGCTCTTGTTGTTGTTTAAATTGTTGTTGTTGTTGTTTAAGTTGTTGTTGTTGTTGTTGTTGTTGTTGGTGTTGTTTTTGTATAAGTTGTTGTTGATGAAGGTGTTGTTGTTGTTTTATTTACGGAGTTGTTGGTTCTTGTTGTTGTTTAAGTTGTTGTTGTTGTTTAGTTGTTGGTGTTGTTGTTGTCATGTTGTTGTGGTTGGTGGCTTAAGTTGATGGTAATTAAGTTGGTGG